ATCGCTAATGCCCAGATAGAGATTCGATTAAAATTTCTTTTCGGCTCCGTCCGGTTTTTTCCTTTCACTTCTGTTGGCGGAGCGGTTACTTGGGTCGCTGCAAGCGTGTCAACGGAAAAGAAGTCGTATCTATATCGAAAAGAATCTATATCGTTTTTCGCTATCATCGGGTGCGGAAACACCGATAGAGGTGTATGACATTATGTTTCAGTGACCGACGGACATCCCCAATTTAATTTGATTATCAAATCCTTCCAATAAGTCCGAGGGTCGCGTGTTCTGGAATCCCAGAAGAAAAAAACATTCAAAGGGTCCCCCTTTTTTATCTGCTGGAAAAACAGATAGTATGTGAAAGTTAATTTTAAGTATATATCAAACTGTATATCATGTAAAAATAGGCAGATCTGCACTCCTTTTTGGGCGTATCTAGACGTCTAGAAGAACAGTAGTTAGAAAGAAAGGTGGCCAGAAATCCAAGGACAACAGTAGCAGAACTTTACATAAACTTTACAGACATAAACTGGACCCCTAGGTCAAAACACAGGGAGCTATTGCAGGAAGCTTTTGTGAGATGCCCACAAAAATAACAGCAACACAAATCAGAACAGCACTGCCTTGGCACTAGGAAAAGCCAGAGTTGCCCCACTAAAGCAACACATCAAATAAACTGTGGCTTCAAGCAGCGGTCTTCGAAGCTCGTTTAGCGAACTCATCAAATGTGAAAAACGAATCAAAACCAACGATACCCATATGTGGATATACAGAAAGACAGCACTAGGTGGAGCAAAGTTTTTACTAGGCACGAAATTTTTATATGCTTAGCCATGGAATTATTTCTTGATAGTTGCAACTCGTTACTAGGTACCCTAGAGGCGAAAAAATTGATGAGACTCAAAACCGGGCTGACACAGAGCCCATTGGGATCTCTTTAACTACATCCCCCCTCGGGTACCTAGTAAATATAACGCCCCCCCCCCCCCCCATAAAGAAATAAATCAACGGCTAAGCATATCAGAGTTTTATACCTAGCAACAAATCTCCCCCTACTTTTGCAAAAGGGGGAAATAGTTAAAGAGTCGCGGATTGTTTGGGACCGTATAGGGACCAACAAAAAACTGTTGACCGTGGTGACCAAAAAAATTGTCACGGGGACCTAAAGTATATCCACAAAGAACATGGGGCAAGAATTTGTTACGTTTAGACCGAGGGGAAATATTGATTTTTTGGGTGGGAAAAGTAAAAAGACCCCATATTCTCAACCAAGTGCTATCAGTGTCATGTTATGTTGTTCTCAGCAATTACATTGCATATTACAAAATCGCGAAATTAAGAAACTTGGGCGGAATAAATACAAAGACGGGCTTGATATAGTATCTATTGATCTATCCTACGCAAAAATGGGGGGAGATTGCTCAATTGGCCCTAAATGGCGCCATTAGATGACTTTGGGGTCGGTCAGAAGTGGTATGTCGTGAAATAATTCCGCAGGCAAAAGGTTCGAACTTTTCCAGCGATAGTTTGACCCTCGGCATGTCACTGCGCATGCTAGCGTGCACACTCCCGGGTTGACCTCCATAGACCGAAAATGCTAATCATACAATTTCATACACTTAGTCTATGGAAAAATGCTAGTCATACAAATTTCATACATTTTTGCAAAATGAGTTTAATCGAATTTCAAAGGTATTTTATAGTTGTTTTGGTATCGAAATTGGTAGCTCTTCATAAAAAAGGAGAAAAAATGGTATGAAAAAAATGCTAACCATACAATTTCCATTAATGGAAAATGTATGATTAGAATTTTTTTAAATTTTTTTTTGTGAAAAAAAAGCTTTGAACAATCAATTTAACTGCTGGCAAAACATTTAAGCGTTTTTTGGGCTGCTACGACTGAAAACTTTGACTTTTTTTATTTTTTTTTCTGAAAAAAAACACTAGTCTTACAATGCTCAAGTATTTTTGAAATTGCCTCCAAAAAGTTGTTTTTCTTTCAACTGAAAATTGATTTTCGTATTCAAACAAACAATTTTTGAAAAAAAAATTGCATGCGAAATTTAATTTTTTGTGTGTATAACGAAGTCCTGGATATACTAATATTGGATTTTTTTTCCTTTTCTCTTCATATCTTTTTTTAAAAACGCTTAAAACTCCTCTTTCTTTTGTATGACATGTTTTTGTATGCCTTGATCAATGTCTGGTATTTAAAAATTCAAATTTTAGAATTTAGAAAATTTTAATCATCTTTGAAAATTATTGCCACAATTTAAGAAATCATTACTTTCGTTATACTATATTTTACATGAGACAATTGTATAAATTATGCATTTCGAAAACAGATTATAAACTTTTGAACTAATGTTTTGGAAATCGATTACAATGAGCATTTTGATATGCAATGGGATTATATACTCTTCTTGTAGACGGCCAAACTGTTGGTTACTACGTTTGAGTAATCAAGGTTTATGTCATTTGTGTTCGGTTACGAACACAACCAAAAAATTTTGAGAAATTAAAATGTAAAAAATCAATATTTTTGATTTATGGAAAAATGCTAGTCATACAATTTCCATATATGAAAAAATACTAATCAAAGACCTTTCATGCAATTTTCTGTACGTATGGAATTGTATGGAAAGTGTATGACCAGCATTTTTCCATATATGGAAATTGTATGACTAGTATTTTTGGTCAACCCGGGCTATGTCATTTTATCGCGGCCTGGGGAAACTAGACAAAATTAGACGTGACCAGAAAAAATGAATTTAAAACTACAACTACGGGAAACTTGAGTTCGAATTTTTAGCCAATCAAAATAGAGCATTTGCCACGGCGCGCTCAGCAAATTTAATTTAAATTGAATGCTGGGGGTGGAGGATCGCTTAACGCTTAAGTTGGTCTAGTTGGCGGGGGGGGGGCAATTTTACATGAGACAATTGTATAAATTATGCATTTCGAAAACAGATTATAAACTTTTGAACTAATGTTTTGGAAATCGATTACAATGAGCATTTTGATATGCAATGGGATTATATACTCTTCTTGTAGACGGCCAAACTGTTGGTTACTACGTTTGAGTAATCAAGGTTTATGTCATTTGTGTTCGGTTACGAACACAACCAAAAAATTTTGAGAAATTAAAATGTAAAAAATCAATATTTTTGATTTATGGAAAAATGCTAGTCATACAATTTCCATATATGAAAAAATACTAATCAAAGACCTTTCATGCAATTTTCTGTACGTATGGAATTGTATGGAAAGTGTATGACCAGCATTTTTCCATATATGGAAATTGTATGACTAGTATTTTTGGTCAACCCGGGCTATGTCATTTTATCGCGGCCTGGGGAAACTAGACAAAATTAGACGTGACCAGAAAAAATGAATTTAAAACTACAACTACGGGAAACTTGAGTTCGAATTTTCAGCCAATCAAAATAGAGCATTTGCCACGGCGCGCTCAGCAAATTTAATTTAAATTGAATGCTGGGGGTGGAGGATCGCTTAACGCTTAAGTTGGTCTAGTTGGCGGGGGGGGGGGCAATTTTACATGCGGCAATTGTTTAAATTATGCATTTCGAAAACAGTGTATAAACTTTTGAACTAATGTTTTATAAATCGATTACAATGAGCATTTTGATATGCAATGGGATTATATACTCTTCTTGTATTTGTAAATTTTATTTAGCCCTTTGCTTTTCCATTAAAAAAATCAACGTCCAAATTCTGTTTTATGTAGCCGTCTAATTTGCTTTACATCTAATTTCTTAACCCCCCATGTTATCATTGTAGAAACCGGGCTGAGGTGTTCGACTCATGATTCGACCGACACGGTCGAACGGAGTCCGATTTTCGTCGCAAATTAAGGCGGTCGAACGAACACTATAGTCGCTCAAAATCGAATCATGGGTCGAACAGGGTCCAATCATGAGTCGAACAGGGTCGATAGATTGAAACTTAAGTCCAACAACTTAACCCGGGCTACACGAACCTACGCTGCTCAATTTTGTGGCATTTTATTATATTTTGTGGCTGCCCAGGCTGAGCTTTTTGAAAGAAGATTTGACAGAAACAGTCAAATGATGAGCGAGTTCCGTTTTAGTTCAGGCCTCTTCTGCTAATTCCCGATAAAGTCGAATAATGTCCGGTTAAGTCGATTAAAGTTGCTCTAAGTCGAACAATGTCCAGTATAGTCGAACAAAGTCGAGCAAAGTCGAACAATATCCGGTAAAATCGAACAAAGTCGAAAAGGGACATCGTTTGACTCAAAAAAAAACGAAAACGGACATCGTTTGACTCAAAAAGTCGAAAACGGACATCGCTCGACTGAAAAAGTCGAAAACGGACATCGTTTGACTCAAAAAGCCAAAACGGACATCGTTCGACGGAAAAAGTCGAAAACGGACATCGTTCGACTCAAAAAGTCAAAAACGGACATCGTTCGACGGAAAAAGTCGAAAACGGACATCCTTCGACTGAAAAAGTCAAAAACGGACATCGTTCGACTGAAAAGTCGAAAACGGACATCCTTCGACTGAAAAAGTCAAAAACGGACATCGTTCGACTGAAAAGTCGAAAACGAACATCGTTCGACTGAAAAAGTCGAAAACGCACATCGTTCGACCATTTCGGTTGAATCATGAGTCGAACAGCTCAGCCCGGGAAGCGAGGCGGTATACGCGAGGTCAGATACAAAATAATCAAACATCGCAAATAAAAGCCACATTTTGTGCTGTTTAATGCATTCTATATCTCCGCGTGCCTATAACGTAGTCTAACTGTAAAACAGAATTGCAAATTTCTTTCACTGTCACTGCGCAGAGCTTTAGGAAAAATCAAACAGTATATAGACGTTGCCTACACTTTTCAATTATCTTTGGAGTGTTTTTTATGTGTGAACAAAAACGTGATGAAGAAGGATTAGGTTTATTTCAAGACAGACTTGTCTCAATTAGTTTATGTTTGTTTAATATGAAATTGGCTTCGGACGTTGGTTGATTATACTTACTTGGCGCCTGTCTACCCTCGATCATGTAGAAGGGTGACACAGGGTGAGGCCATTGCATAGCACATTAGTAGTGGCTGACCTCTGCGAATTCTTCTTAAGGGAGATTTCGGGCGCTGAATGTTTTCGTGTGGGACTGCGTACGCGCTCTCCCGATTGCCTTCCGCATCCTGCGGCCGCTCACAGTTAACTCAGGAATATTATGATAGGCCGCGACTTTCTAGAACAAGGCGGAGACGGAGGGACCAAGAATCAATTCCTTGCGACCGAGGCGAAGACGGCGCGATTTTTCAGACCATGACGAAGACGGCGCGACCAAGAATCAATTCCTTGCCACCGAGGCGGAGACCGCCCCAATTTCCAGACCGAGGCGGAGACGGCGCGACCAAGAATAAATTCCTCACGACCAAGGCGGAGACAGCGCGATTTTTCAGACCAAGACGGAGACCGCGCGGCTTTCCAGACCGAGGCGGAGACGGCGCAACCAAGAATATTGTCCTAGCAACCGAGTTGGATACGGTGTGGTTTTCCAGACCAGGGTGGAGACGGCATGACTTTCCAGACCAAAGCGGAGACGGCGCGACCTTCCAGACCAAGGCGGAGATGGCCCAGACCAAGGCGTATACGGCGCGACCAATAATCAATTCCTTGCGACCGAGGCGGAGACGGCGCGATTTTTCAGACCAAGACGGCGGGACATTCCATACCAAGGCGGATGCGGCAAAACAAAAACTGTCAAAACTGCGTATTTTTTTCTCCTGTCCATAGCTTCGTTTCATTATTATTTTTTGTATCGTTTCAAACTATTTCGAATAGTTTTCATGCTCTCTGAGTTAATGCATTGTTGGCTAAAGTTATTAGCCTTTGTTTGTAATAATTAAGTGTTTTGATTGACAACTTTATTTTTCAGTGATTTATTTGGATCATATCTTTGGCAAAAAAAGAGTGTAGACCAAAGCCAGCTCAGATCAAGCTGGATGAGAGTCGAATGATTGGCTATGATTGTTTTGAAAAGATTCAAAGGCTTTTCTGGTCTTAGTGAAAACCATTTTTTCCGATTTTTGTAGGTGAAAATTGAAGGTTGGTTTTTTTGAAGTTAAGGGAAATCTCTCCGTATCCACATCGGTCTCGAGGAATTGTTTATTGGTCGCGCCGTCTCCGCCTTGTTCTGGAAAGTCGCACCATTTCAGCCTTGGTCTGGAAAGTCGCGCCGATCACACCTTGGTTTGGAAAGTATCGCCGTTTCCGCCTTGGTCTGGAAAGTAGCTCCGTCTCCGCCTTGGTCTGGAAAGTCGCTCCGTCTCCGCCTTGGTCTGGAAAGTCGCGCCTTGGTCTGGAAAGTCGCTCCTTGGTCGCGAAAGTCGCGCCATATCCGCCATGGCCGCGCCGCTTCCCGATTGAGACCCAAATTGCAGTCGCGCCGAGAGTTTGAGTCTGGAAAGTCTGGACGTAAGGGCTGGAAAGTCTGGATATGAGTCGCGCCAAGGGTCGGGCCGCATCCGGATTTAGACCCAAATTGCATAGTCGCGCTGTGGGTCGCGAAATTCTAGACATAACAAAATTTGTTCGCGAACGTCTGGACATGGGTTGAGAAAGTTTGGACACAGACTTTTGCAACTCATGTCCAGACTTTAGCGACCAAATTTTGGTATGTCCAGACTTTCGCGACCCATGTCCAGAATTTCCCGACCAAAATTTGGTATGTCCAGACTTTCGCGGCCCACGGCGCGACTCATGCCCAGACTTTCCAGACTCAAACTCTCGGCGCGACTATGCAATTTGGGTCTAAATCGGGATGCGGAGCGACCCTCAAAGTTTGGACAAGAGTCTGGGACCTCGACCCGGTTTGTATTAAGAATTCGAATTTTGCTGCATTCAGATTGATCAAAAAATCAACTATTTTGATCTACTGAACAAGCTCCCACTCCCCCCCCCCCCCCCCCCACCACCCGTTCATGAGTTAAGTAGATCATTGTTAAGTCATGAGTTAAGTAAGTTAGTTCAGTAAGTTGTAAGTTAGTTAAGTAAGTTTCATTTTTAAGAAGATTCTTTTTATTTCTGCTCTCCGCAATTGGATATTTACGAAGTCGGGAGGAATGAGTAAAAATACCCCAAAATTATGGCGCAAGGGGACACATAGTCGACAGTGTCAGGTATCACTTGATTGCAACAACGGATGGAACCTCGTCATGGCACCAGAGAATACCGATTTTTTTACTGACTTTGAATAACCCACAACGTACCATCCAAAAAACTAAAACTTAAAAAGTCACTTTTGATAACCTCTTAAAACTAACTGAACACAACCACAAACATACACAAAATCCGAACACGCAATAACCTACTGGAAAAACTCTCAGGCTCAAGTTGCGAATACAGTAGAGAAAGTCTAAAAAGTTATGTAGTGTTCTGAATAATGCAGCTCGTCTGGACACCTTTAGTAAGTCAAACTCGTTGAAATGAACTTCAAACTCTGAAAAACTAAAATTCTAACTGGCTGCACAAAAATGACTCCGATTTAACACCCTTCATTGTTAGACTCGAATGCTGCCAACCAATGAAATGTTAAGACAACAATTTTCAACGCGTGCCATTGACCACAACGGTGTGACCACCACCATACACCAATGTCGAGACATGTAAAGCCGAAACTTGCCAAAAAACCTATGACAACATCAAAAAATATCTTGATGAAAACGAACACAATTCACCAGATCAATGAATAGTCGCACTGAAGACAATTCATTCAATTGAGTTTTGAAAAACTAGATTCACCAATTGATGGATTTCAAACTCCAGAAACAGCCTCGGAAGAAAACGGCTTTCTCAGAAATTCACAAATTAACAACGTGCTTTTGCTCAACTCCGTTGAGGATACAGCACGCAATTAAAGAGCTATCTGTCGAGATTGAACAAAACTAACGCCAAAACTATATCGCTAGCCTGCATGATATACACCACCTTCTTAAATTTCATACAAAGCCAACATGTCTAATATTGATGACCTGTGGGACAATCCCGTTGAAATCGCAGAATGGCTCAACTAACCGAAACAAGTGGCACAAGGAGTTTCTCTCGACTCCGCACTCCTTAAAAATTATTTTACCGTTTGATATAGTGAAGACCCAGTATCCGAGTGGCTTTCGATTTCAGTAGATTCAGCGCGAAGCGTATATTATATAGCGTCTATAAGATATTCTCGATTTTGCGCTAGATGGGTTTAAAACTTATTAAAAGAAAGGATTTATCTTAGACAGTTATTTATCTTGGATTAAAAACAAAAAGCACTGCGCGTAAAACACTCAATTTTGATTGCCTGAAAACATTCAATTTAGAACCAAGCTCACACCCTTCCCCGTAAACCACTTATGTACGAGGATGTCAACATGGTCCTCTTATACTGTTGTTTCAGCAATAAAAAAAATCAAATTTTTATTTAGAAAAAACTTATTCAGCTATATTGTCTTCGATTTTATGTTTAATTCTGGAAAAACAAGATACCCCCCTCTTAATCATTTAGAGGGTTGATCCTTTAATTTTAATCTGTGGAAAATTCGATTTTAGCGATAAAGGAACAAAGAAGCGAAGTTTCAATTCGCAAATACAAACAAAATCAAAAACTTCAAAACAAAACTAAGCGCTAAACAATTCTACAATTCTATTTTAAATTGAAACCTTTTCTTGAAAAAAAAAAAATTCTCGACTTGTTCATACACCACATTTTCTCGACGCTTTTGGTCGATCCAAATAACAACCAATCGGGTTTTTATATACCATCTTTGACACCCTACAAGCTTAATTTGTCAAAGCGAGTTGGAAAACACACACTACGCCTCAGTTTCTTCCCACCCACTTTAAAAATATGAATGGAAAACATAGCCAACAGTCAGTTTGAAAAGAGTCGATGAAGGCAAGGAAACAAAAAAATACTGAATTTTTCTGAATAAACTTTTGAATTTCGTAGAAAAAACCTTTGATTATCAAGTAAAACTTATGGTTGATAGTTGTTTGATAAAACTAACCCGATTTGAGACAACTGGATATATATGTAATTTTTTGTTCCCCAGTTAAATCTCAAAATTTGAACCCCATTTTCGAAATTGAAAACGATCACTTTTTGTGACTGGTACACTTTTACAGTTTGAAAGTGTCGCGTGCCTTCCTTTTAACAAAAGAAATGAATTGAAAAATAGCTTGAACAAACTACTTTTTACTGAAAAAAACGTGATATCCTACAATACAATACCGGCAAATCCAGCTCGCACAATTTCACCACTGATCTAACCAGTTAGAGGGAAGATTTGCTTACCTGTATTGTACCCTGACTGCTGCCCACCATAAGATTGAGAATTTCAATTTCTAACAGTTGTTTTTAAATTTAAATTTTTTTTGAAAGAATTGAAAAAATTTTAGGAAACGCCATATCTCAGAAGTCAAAAAGATTTGACCAGATAAAAGCTGAGGCCAGATTTGTACTGTAACAGTGCCACTGATTTTACCCTGACAGCAACCCACCATAGGGTTGAGAATTTCAAGTTCTGCTAGTTTTTTTTATTTAATTTTTTTGAAAAAAATCATAAAAAATCGCCATATCTCAAAAATCAGAAGGATTTAAGTAAGTTTAATTAGAAGGAAGATTTGCCTTTCTTGAGTGTAATCTGACAGCGCCCTACCATATGGTTGAGAACTTCAAGTTCGGTTAGCTTTTTATAACTAAGTGTTTTGAAAAACAACCTGAAAAAAATCATAAAAAACGCCATATCTCGAAGACCGCAAAAATTTGAGCAGTCGTATTGGGATTCCAGATTTGCAACCCTTGAATGTGCCCTGACAACACCCACTATAGGGCTGAGAAAAGCTATTTGGCTTGAAACTGAAACAAAAATTTTTTAAGCCAGCATTTCGAATACAGGAAAAATGTAGAATTACAGCATTCGCTCTCCAACAGATTTTAAAACGTCAACTTGAGAAAAAATTTTAACCATTGTAAAGTTTTTGCCTTTCGACAGATCAAAATAATAAATTCATAAACATGTGCCGAGAGGAATTTCTTAAGCAGTAATATACGATGTAGCTTAAACGTCTAAAAATTCTTTGGTAAACATGCAAAAGAATACGTTGAAAAAGCTTTAACATGCCAACATAGAATAATTCTTTCACATGTGTCAAGTGAAAAACCAATTAAAATATATATAGATAGATAGATAGGTAGGTAGATAGATAGATAAGTTGCGCATTTAACGCAAGCTCCATGTAAATAACAAAACAGAACTGGATCCTTCTCGATGTTCACAATACCGCGCACTATATTGGCTACAACCTACTTGACTTTTCACAGCATTTAATTCTCACAGCCTTCATTTAGGTCAGAAATACTTAGCAAAGAAATATGCGAGTTAAAGTTTGGAGCAAAATAACACTATTTGTGGTGCATTAAAAATAGAACAGGATAAAACTCAATTGCAATATATTAAAATTTCACAAGCTAAGGAATACATCTGTAAATAACTAGGGTGCGTTTTGCCTCACAATATACAATAAACCTATAGTAGATAAAGCACTAACTAGGAAAATGACATCAAACCATCTATGATAAAAATTGAATTGCAATTTACCCAACACTTCAGTTATTATCAGTCTGTACTGTTCGGGCACATTCATTCTCATCAGCAGAACCATTGATATGAAATACATTCCAATGATTTCCGACAACAGCAGCATTATTACGTCTGAGCTTTTGCTGCTAGAGACCGCGTAGAAAATCTTCGTCAGCGTCAGTAGAAGACCGCGAATCGAAGTGATAACCAGAATACCGACTACAAAGAATGAAACCTGCTGCGACCAGAACCGAACGTCCAGATCGAAACCCAAATAATGTGCTAGAATGTCAAACCCTCGTGTAATGGGATCTACTTTGCCTACTCGGTTGAACAAAATGTTCACAGTACAGATAAAAATTTTCCACATGCAGTAAAGCGAGAAAATATAGCCGAGACAATTAAAGTATTTTCCCTGGAATGTCTTACTGAACTCTATTCGTTCTTTCACTGCATGTAGATCAACTACTTCCAGAAATAATTGTTTATTCAACTCTTCAGAAGCAGTCGCTTCCTTTTTCAATGTTTTCAAATTTTCAGTCGACATCAGATGGTCGTTGTGAGCTGTGGAGTTATGGGTTGGACTTCCGTTGAAAAACCTCCAAAATTTATTTGACTGAGTTGGACTAGTCCCGATTAACATCGGCTTCATTTCTTGATGAGCTAGTAGAATTCGCTTCTTCTTCGTCAGAGTTGAGTCTAAGCTCTGTAGGAGGCGACGTTCGGCCGCTTTGATATCGCTTTCAGAAACATATCTCATAAATATTGCCATAGATGTGTATGGATAGTTCACAGCTCCAAAACCAGAAAGAATGGCCATAACTGTCACTCCAATAATTCCAATTCGGCTAACACCCTGTTCGATTGAAAACAGTCTAAACTCAGATGAGATGATTGGGAATGGATCTCCGAGTTTCCAAAAACCATAGAGAAAACCAAACCAAAGCATCAAAGCACCTGCCCTGATTAAGCTCCTGCTACATCCCTTGAAGCAAAAATTTTGGCAAATATAATAGCACAAGTAGAGAGGTACTAGGACAATCAACAAGAAAAGCATTAAATACAAATGCAAGTTCCAATGAAAATAACGTGAGTTTTGCTCCAGCCAACCAAGAATTTCGAAAATGATCAACTCCAGCAATGTGCAAGAAAGAGTAAACACTGTGGCAAAAACCAGCTGAATAGACAAATAATGAATTTCATAGTCACGGAAGAATTTGCGCATACTGTAGACCCAGCCAAAAATAAAGAAGATAAGCTCCGTGCACAAAATCACAATACCGTCTGACATCCAGCCCATTATAAAATCTGGAAAAACTACAAAACAATTGCTGACTTAATGTTAAAAACATAGGAAACAGACAGTTGAAAATTAAACACAGAGGCGAAGCTGAACTTTGCACCAATTACGCTACAAAATAAAGCACATTAAAAGCTAACTATCGTGTAACGCACCTCCGGTGCTTCGAATTTTTAACAACTCATAAAAAACCGTAAAAATTGGGGAAAAAATCAGCATCCTTTGAGTGTACTCTGACAGCACCGAATTACAGAGTTGGTTATTCCAAAGATTGAAAAAAAATTCTATTCACGTTTTTTCAATTCAATTTTATAAAAAAAACATTACGCTTCTTATATATAAGTTCTTTGAAAAACTTCAAAATCTTTGAAAATTTAAGAAAATCACATCTCGGAATCTAAAACTAATTGGGCTGTCGCAATTGGACGCAAGATTTGCAACTCCTGAGAGAGCTCTTACAGTACCCAACTACAGCTTTGGAAATTTCAAATTTGGGAAAACTTAAAATTAAGTTTTCTTAAGAATTTTTTTGAAAAAACCAAAAAAACGTCGTATCTCGAAAACGACCAAAAAATTTGAGCAGCCGTAATTGGAGGCAAGATCTCTCGCAATCCCTAAGAGCACTCTGACAGCCCCCCAACTACAGGGGGTTAGGAACTTCAAAATTCACAAAAAACGTCATATCTCAAAAATTACAAGGATTTGAGCAGTCGTAAGTGGAGACAAAAATTCACAACTCCTTAGAGTACCCTGACAGAGCCTCATTATAAAGGTGGTAACTTAAATTTCGGTGACAATTTCTGTATCTAAGTTCTTTGAAAAAATTGAAAAAAAAATCCTAAAAACATCAAATCTCGAAAACTACAAGGATTTGAGCAGTCATATTCAGATTCGCAACTCCTGAGAGTACTCTCACAGTTTCCAACTACAGGATTGAAATCTTAAAAGTTTTTAAATTTTTTTAAATCGTAAGTTTTTGGAAAACTTTTTTAAAATCATTTTAAAAAACGTCATATTATGATTATTATTAAATTGGATTTACATTTACAACGTAAATGAGGGAATGTTAGTCCCGTAGATAAATCAAGTCAATTGAGCCCCGAGAGACCAGAGGTTTAGATGTCCAGGTACATGGACTGAGCCCCGAGAGACCACAAGAATGTCCAGGTACATGGACTGAGTTCATCATAGTGACTGTGGAAAAACGACGAGTTTGAGTAGACGATACTTCAAGTCAGGCGAGAAGGTTCTGATGTCGATAAAGTTTGCTTTTCTGTTGGCTCTCCATGGCGTTCTATACCAAAAATTGTTGCGCTGGCGCTCGAGCTTAATGATCGGGATATCAAACAATAAACGAGTTGCTGTGCGTCGTGAGCCACTGGGTGCGCAGGAATAACAACTGGTGAGATCACAGCCATATAGTCCACTGATAATTTTTGAAAGAGAGAGAAAGTCAGTTAAAACGGCACAGTACGCAATGGGTAAGAAGCCAAGGGAACTGATTGCTTCACGGTACGGTATGTCAGAGAGCATCCATCTGACAACTTGTTTCTGGAAGGTTTCTAGTTGCTTCAAGTCCGATTTGTTTGGAGCTCAGCATTGAGAAGCATATTAAATGATAAACATGAGAAGTGTTTTGTACAAGTGGAGCTTTACCTGCGGGGAGAGAAGATGACAGACACTGGTGCGAATCAGGAAGAATGTTGCATTTGCTTTAGTTAACTTTTTCTTTATGTGCTCGGTCCACGACGAAGTGATGTTGATTTGTAGTCCGAGATCGTTCACAGAAGTCGAGAGCTGTATTGCAGAAGGTAATGTCGCAGGGGTAACAATTCTCAAAATCTATTACACAACAATTTGAAATATTAAAAGGCAACCGATTTTCGGTAGACCGAAGTACTCAGTCTATCAAGATCCGCGGTAATTAGATGGAACAAATCGTGGGATTTGTCGAAAAAAGTTTTCAAGTCGTCAGCAAAGATAAAAGCAACATAATTAAATCTTTTATCAGGGGGTTCGTCGATGAAAATCAAAAACAGATTCGGACCCAACAGTGAGCCTGGGGGAACACCACTCAGCACTAAACCAACAGGCGACAAAAAATCAGTGATGCGAACTCTCTGAGATCACTTTGTGAGGTAGCTCCTTAGAATCTTGAAATCTTGCCTTCTATCCCAATGTATCTGATTTAAGAACTGTGAGGCTGATTTTATCGAAAGTTTTAGAAAAGTCGAACATTACAGGGTACGAAGCAATGTCTTTTTCGGATATTGATGCATAAATGTAGTTCAGGCAAAGTAATAATTGAAGAATGGCAGATTTACGAGGCACAAAACCGAACTGGGTTGAGTTGACATACTTGATGAAATAATCGGCGTTTTGGGAAAATACAATTCTCTCCAAACCATTCGAAACAAAATTCAGAAGAGTAACAGGGCGAAAATTCGAAATCTCGGACTTTTTCCCTTTCTTGAAAATAGGACTGACAATGCCTAGTTTCCATTTTTCGGGAAACGTGCCCAACCTGTGAATATTCCAGAACACGTTTCGAACACGTTGTACACATATATCGAGGGGGGATCAATTGCAGTTGGAGCGATTTCAAAAGAAAGCAATCCGGTGGATCACTGGAAATAAAACGGGAGTGTACATCAACGAACTACGCTTGCTAAACATTTTACCCCTGCCCATGTTCATCCAGCTAAATAACATCTTACTTCTTGCCAGTCTTGATTCTAATGAACGAAATGAAATAGTGTTAAACAGGCGAACCACACGGGCTAGAAATATAGAAATTTTTGAGATGCGAAAAGTGAGAACGGAAAAAGCGAGAAACGAATTTGTTTTCAGAACCAGTAGGATTGTAAATCGATTAGAACCATATATTCATTTTGATAAACGAATCGGCCTCAAGACGAGAATTTTAAACACGATGTGGAAATTTGTAAACGAGAGATTTTCAGAAATGACAACGTGCACGTGGCAATTATTCTGTGATTGTATCACGTGCAGAAACAAGTGGACATTGTTTTAGAGAAGACGCCGGGACCAAGACTCCCAACAGCAGTGCTGTGAATCCCCAACAACAACAACAACAACAACAACAACACGTTGAAAACTGAAGGAGTTAGCTCGGTTGCTAATTTGCGCAAGAACACTGGCGGAAGTTGGTCTTCACCGCGACTCCTGGATATGTCCAAATTAAAGAGAACATTATATACTACATCTCTATTGATTTGATAGTCACAGGCATTTCTTTCGTCAGGTAGTTGGGAATCTGACTCCCCCAGTTGTACGTCCAAAGTAGTGCGTGTGAACACACTGATGAAGTAGTCATTAAACAGATTTGCTTTGCGGCGATTACTGTCGGCAGACACTTCATTCCACCTGATGTCTTAAGGTAATTAGCTGTCTTTCTTCAAACTCTTCATGTACTTGAAAATTGATCCAGTGTTTCTTCCAGCAAAAAGCTTGGTTTCATATGCCACTCTGTCTTCATCCATGTACAAGGTAGCTTCGTTTCTCAGAGATTGAATTTAAGAGTCGCTCTTTTTGTGTTTCTCAGCCGTACTAAGCTTTTTCAGAACGTTGGAGGTACGACCAGTTACCCAAGGACTGAGTTGGGCACGGTGATTTGATCTGACCGGCACGGAGGCATCAATGATTTTGAAGATCCAGTCGTACCGTACCATTCATCCACCATTTTGTTAATAATAGTGTAGCAATTAGGGCTAAAAGTTGATTCCAATATCATATTCTTTGCGTCGTTGAAGTCACAGTTTGTGAAACTGTAAGTTTTGGATCGCCTCTCTTTCACTGTTGGAGTTCCACTGCAAAGCCAGGTTGATTGAACTGGTCTATGAGTAGTATGCATATAGTGCGTTAGGATCGGGGGGGGGGGTTGTCATACATGGATGACCATTAGGTATAAATCATAATGGTCACCATGTATTAAATGATCAGCAATGGTCACCATGTAATAGTCCTAATTATCACCATGAATAATTTTATACCCAATGGTCACTTTGTAATAATCCTAATTGTCACCATGTATAATTTTATACCTAATAGTCCTCATGTAAAACTTCGGTATATTATTGAGTATTCCCACTGAACGTTGTGGAAACAGGAATGGATTAAGTTTTGGTCGGTGCATGTTTTCCCTTCTAAAGTTTGGGGGTATTGGTTTGTGTACATGTAAAATGACGTTATATACCTATTATATGCGACCAAACTATATGGTATATAGGAAAGCACAAGAGTTTGGCAGCGTAGCTTAACTGTTGGCTGCGGTGAAAGATTTCCTTCAAAAATGCATGTTTTATTGCTGAATCTCGAAGAAAGCAAAATTCGTCAAGTGCGGCGGCCGCCACCTCTATTTAGGCAAAAATTAATAATCAATTTGACCAAAATAAGAATGAAAAATTACTTTAAGCCAAATGAAGGTAAAAAATAAGGAAAAATTACGAAACACTGAAAGCTGTAAAATAATGAAATTGGCTTGAAAATTTTGACATTTCCATTTTCCGTGTCTACAGGAGACTAAAAAAACGTCTGAAATCTATGACAAAAGCTTTGATTTTATAGAAAGATTGAAAGAGCTAATAAGTTGAAGTGGGTTAGGATCTTGAAAAACAAGAACACTGATGAAAGCCAAAAGTGCCCATTAATTTTGCTGCAACCATTTCTAAGACTTGTACATAACTTGTTACTATAAAATTGAAGTGGAACAAAATTTCTTGGGGTCCGAGTAGAGGAAAACGCATGGCGCTTGACTCTCAGCCGAAAGGCGGCGTTTCGAAACCCGTCCGGAAATTGTACTGAAAGGAGGCAACAGTTGCTGGTATGTTGATATCCCCCCATAGATCGATTTTGTACTTCTTTCTCACTTTGATTAAAAACTTAACTTCTCGAATTACTGCTATTCAGTTAACAATTGGGTAAAATTTCAGTTACTAAAAGAATGTATTGTTCAAAATTAAATTGTAAATTGTATAAATCAACCATATTAAATGGTTAGTTAATGGGTAAGCATGTGAGTTAGGAAACGTTTCAAAACATGATCAGTTATGTAAACAAAATCAGAAGCATCACCATTAAAGTTTTTGTCAAAATCAAATGTGCAATTTTAATACAAAAAGAACCGCACATGGTAGAGTTTGAGTCTTG